GCACCGGACCCACTTGGCACGTGAGCATCCGACCGGCCCACGGGCACCGCCACGCCTGCAGCGGGTCCGCAGAGCACCTGGGCGGTCGGCTGTCCTCCGCGGGGAGCGCGTCCCCCGCTAACGCGAGCCGGCCACTTCTGCTCCGAAAGGGTCCCGAGCCCACTCTGAGCCTCCTGAGACGGTGCTGCTGCTCAGAAGCTCCGCTACCTTAAATGCAACCGGGTAAGAAAAGAAAATAAACCATTTTAAGATTCAAACAAGGCCACGCCAAGAGAAGACCACAGACCACGGTCCAGCGGCCACGGCACCACCTAAAACCACACGCACCCCAAGGCTCTCACCTTCCTCTTCCTCCTGCTTCTGCAGGGCCACCCGCGTGGGGTCCTGGCGCGGCTCTGGCCCCCACTCGCCGCCCCCCACCGCCCAGCCCCCGCGGGGCCTTCCCGCTCCGAAGGACGGCTCCGGGGGCTGGCGCGCCAGCTGCTCCGTGACAGGCTGTGCCTCTGCCAGGCGGGCCGCTCAGCGCATCACGTGAGCGTGGTTCTGGAAGCCCACGTCCGCACCGGCCCCTCGTCGCCCCAGAAAGCACGACCTCCGCCACTGCGGGCGCTCAGAGCGTGGACAGAGGGCCTCAGGCAGACCGCCCGGCCGCCCGGCCACCGCACACGGACGGACAAGGCGACGTGCCCAAAGCCCCGCAGCCGTGGCGCCCACCTTCCACGGAGGCAGCTCTCGGCGCGGAGGGTCCTAAACGCCTCCTTCCTTCCTACAGAGAAGAGGACGAGGCGGGACATCGGATGCACCTGCACCGGTGAAGGGGGGGCTCCGCGGCAGGTGAGACGGGGGCGCGGCTCGGAGAGGAAGGAGCTCTCACCCACGCACGTGCCGCCCAAATTCTCTATAAACAAGGCCGTTGAGAAAGGAGATTATTCCCACACACGTGGGTCTTCGTACTCTCCTTGGCAAATGGGAACCCCAACTGCCGACCGCACCGAGGAAGGGGCGCGCACGCTGTGAGGGGCAAGGGGCCACCTCGCCGCGCCTTTTCCAAAAGACCGAGTGGCCAGCGTGCCCCGTGGGAGGCGGGATCCGCGACTGCTCTCCCTGCCCGTCACCCCCAGCAGCGCCTGGCCCTGCAGTCCTGCCCTCTCGCCAGCCGTCCTCCCGGCAAAGCAGAGCTCCCGACAGAGTGTGCCCCACAATACTGGGCCCGGGGGTCAGCGCCCCACGGGGTAGGAAGGAGTCTGCGCGGATCCCCTCTCCCTCTGCAGCCCTTGGGATTCAGACGCCCCCTTCCCCACCAGGTGGTCTGCACGCTGTCCCCCCTCCAGGCTCTGGGGCAGTTTCACTAGCATCTGTCACCTGCACTGGGTCCCATTACTGGTCCTGTGTCTGAGGGATGCTCGACTTGTCCCAACAGATCACCAAGCCCTGCGGAAACGCCGCCCCCAGCCTGGCCCAGGTCCTCGTCAATGCCCGGGGTCCCCAGGAATGAGAACCCCGGGAACGTCCCTCTAACGTGGCTCAGAAACTCCGGTCGAGACACAAAATCTCTATAAATGCTGTTGGAAGATACGTGAACATTATTTCTCAATTTCTATACTAAAATACCTACGTTGGCGGTTTTTGAGTCCAAATTATGTTAAAAATATTTAATAACTATTCAACCTGAATATGAGTCAATAGCATTACTGAGAAAAAAAATGAGGAAAAGGGGCACCTGGGTGGCTCAGTGGTTGAGCATCTGCCTCCGGCCCAGGTTGTGACCCCGGGGTCCCGGGATCGAGTCCCGCGTCGGGCTCCCCACAGGGAGCCTGCTTCTCCCCCTGCCCGCGTCTCTGCCTCTCTCTCTCTCTCTCTCTCTCCGTGTGCCTCTCGTGAATAAATAAAAATAAGATCTTTAAAAAAAGAAAGAAACTGAGCAGAAAACTCCGTCAGATTTGACCGGCCTAGCTTCTTTTATCCTTCAACACACAACTTATTAGTTTGTCGAGAAAGGTTTTTTTCTCTTTTCCATGACTTTTTCATTGATAAACAACATCCCAGGTCGCGTTGTGCCATCACCAGCAGGCCGGGACACAAAGCCTGCGTGTGCACAGATAAGCTACACAAAGTATTTAGGCTGGAACGGCAGAAAAGGTGGAAAACCTGTGCCGAGCTCACGGCGTGAGGCCCCAGCCACGCCGGCCGTGCCACAGCCGCAGCTGCGGGCCGGGGACGTGCGAACCACGATCGGGACGAGGCAGGGTCTCAAACACTTAGGCCTGTGGCCTCAGTAGAGATTTTTAATCATCCACTTCTTGGCAGGGAGGCCATTAAAACAAACTGGGAGGATCTCTTTCTTGAGGGGAGGGGCAGACACACGGGAATTCTTGACCATCTGCCATCACTCAACAGACGTGAAGGTAAAATACGTTAGGTCAGAAGAAGGAGCCCGTAGGTTTACGAGAACGTGAGTCGGGGGCAATGTGAAGCCCCCAGAACAGGGCAGTGCTGTGGCACGTGCCGGGACACAGGCGTGAGGGCGGGCGGGCAGCAGCACTGGCTTCTAGAACTCTCTCCTCGCTTTAACCCAGCAGCCAAGAAGGCACCTGGGCACATGACATATGGGAAGGTGAGGAATTAGCTCAGGTTCCTGGGCTGTGGCGCTCCTAAACACCGAGCACTAAATGGGTCTCCTTGGCGCTCAGAGGCTGGTCTAAGACCTCTGATAGAGAACAAAGCAGGAGTGCTGTACAGCTGTCCCAGAAACACAGACCGCAGGGACAGAGTGGCCCAATTTCTCTTAATTTGAAAAGCCCCACATAAGGACAGTGTTGGAAAGTTCGTCCTGCTAAAAACTTAATTTTGGGTAACGTGTTGGTAAACAACACCCCGTCTGGCGGCGGCGGGACTTTGGGCTTGCAGGTGTCCGCCCATCCCGAGGTGCTCTTGCCTTTCCAGGAGTCCGCCTCACCCCTTCTGCCAGGGTGCGAGGGAGGGCCGCAGGTGCCACGGGGGCGGGGGGCCCCCCGGGCCCGGCGTGACCGAGTGCCCACACTGCATCAGCCAGGGTGGCTGCCCCGTGGGCGACAGTCGGCCGGCCGGTCCTGAGCACCCGAAGGTGGGTGCGTGGCGGGGAAGGGGGGGAGGGTGCCCGGAGCACAGGAGCGACGCGTTGTTGAACAGAACACAGCCCACCCTCGGCCCCTGGGCAGGAATTGTCTCATCAGAACGACACCCTTACACCCAGGATGATGTCAACGAGAGGCTTATTTGAGTGTCGTTCCCAGGCTGGCCTCCGGGAAAGGCTGCATTTGGGGGCGTCTGAACAGCCTCAAGGGAGTGCGCTCCACCATCACCCCCTAAAGAAAACGCACAACAGCCCCCGCCCTGCAGTGAAGGACACGGAGACCAGGGCCTGCCGCAGAGGGGACCCAGGGCTGCGGTGTGACGCCCTCGCGCCTCGCCTCGCCTCGCCTCGCCTACCACTCACTTCCTCCCTGCTGGAATGCCGAGGCGCCCCAAAGTTTTCAGCTCAAAATACCTAGAAACTACCATGAAACACGGCGGCGGCGAGGGGAGCACCTCGAGGACGAGGACGGCGAGACGCTCCGGTTTCCTCCACTCTCCTCGCGGAAAACCCCTTCTCTACATTTCCTTTCGGGGAGCGAGGCAGGAGGCAGGAGCCGCTCCCGCGGGGGTGCAAAGAGCCTCGCACAGGCGGCGCGCGGGGCGGCCACGGAGCGGATCCGCAAGTCCGTCTCCCGCTCGGGAAAGTTCGCTTTGACGATAAAGCCCAAAAAGAGAGACTCTGCAGGCGACACCCTTAACGACGCGCGCGGGGCTCGGTGCACAGGTGTCGGCGCGCCTCGCAGTTTGCAAAGCGCCCTCCCCGCCCTGCGCCCTCCCCGGAGCGTTCCTTGAAACAAAGCTGATGGCGACCCGGGGCGGCAGCGCGGCGCGGAGAGCGCGAGCGGATTCGCCGGGGAAATCTCGGGGAAACTTTCTTTTGTCCCTGCGCCCTCGGTGCCGGGGGTACCTGGGGGTCGCCGCGCTGGGTCGGGGCCCCGGGCCTGGCGCGGCCCTAGCCCCGCCAACGGCGCATCTGTCGGCGGGGCCGGGCCCGGGTGGCCGCAGCGCTCCTCCCGCGCGCAGGGCTCCGCATCCGCCGCCGGATTGAGTTGTCAGAAGCGGCTCGCGCTCCCCTGCGGAACTGACATGTCTATTTACGGAGAAACAAAGACGCGGCTGGCGGCGGACCCGCGCCCCCCCGCGCCCCCCGCGCGCCCCGCGCCGCCCCGCGCGCCCCGAGGCCGCGGCCCCCGGAGGCCCCCGCGGGGACGATGGGGACGAGGCCGGCGCCCGCGTCCGCGCAGACAATGACCCCGCGCCCCGCCGCGCCCCGCCGCGCCCCGCCGCGCCCCCGCCCGCGGGTCCGACTCTTGGCAAACTCGGCGCGGGCGGGTCGGGCGCGGCGGGGCGCGCGGGCGGGGGGCGCGGGGCGCGCGGGCGGGGGGCGCGGGCTCGCCCCGGGGCCGCCTCCCGGGCCGGGCGTTGACGCAGCAGAAATTACGGCCGGAGACGATTCCCCCCGGAGGTGGCGGCGGGGGGCCGCGGCGGAAAGGGGCGCGCGGCGCGGGGCGCGGGGCGCGGGGCGCGGGGCGAGGGGCGCGGGGCGCCGGGCTCCCCGCCGCCTCCGCGCGCAGCCCCGCGGGGACCCCGCGCCGCCCCCGCCCGCCCCGCCGCGCCCCGCCCCGCCCCGCCCCGGGCCGCCCGGCTCCGAGCCGCTTGGCGCCGCGCACGGGCCCCCGCCGCCCCCGAGCCGCCGCCGGGCCGCGCCGACCGCCGCCGGGAGGGCGCCCCCGCGGGGCGGGGCGGGGCGCGGCGGGCGCGGGGGGCGCGGGGCGGGGGCGGGGGCGCGGCCCGGCCCCGAGCGAGCGGCCCCGAGCGAGCGGCCCGGGCGGCCCCGCCGCGATGCGCCGGCCCGGCCGCGCGGACAATGAGCCGGCGCCGCTTACCTGTGACCCCATGGGGCGCGGGCGCGGGCGGGCGCGGGCGGGCGCGGGCGGGCGAGGGCGGGCGCCGCGGCCCCGGACCCGCGCGGGTGATCGCCGCCGCCGCCGCCGCCGCCGCCGCCGCCGCCGCCGGGAGCGCCGCGTCCGGGCGGGTCCGAGCTGCGCGCTCGCCTCGGCTGCTGCGCCGTCTGTCCGGCCGTCCGTCCGTCAGGCCGGCGCGCGCCCCCGCGCCCGCTCCAACCCCGCGGCCCCCGCCGCCCGCGCGCGCCCCGCCCGCGGACCCTGACCCCGCCCCCCGGCGCGCGCCCGGCCGCCGCTGATTGGCCCGCGCGGCGCCCCGGCCGCGGCCGCCGCCCCGGCCCCGCCCCCGCCGGCCGCCGGCCCGCCCCGCCCCTGCCGCCCCCCGCGGGCCCCGGCGCGGCGTCGGGGGGGGCGGGGGTCGCTGCCCCGCGGGCGGCCGGACGGCGCAAGTGCGGGCGCGGCTCGCTGGGCATTGTGGGAAGCCCCCTCCCCTGGCGCGGCGGGGCGGCGCGGGGCTCGGCGCGGGGCTCGGCGGGGGCTCGGCGCGGGGCTCGGCGCGGGGCTCGGCGCGGGCGGGGCGGGGCGCTGCGGGCACGGGGCCGCCCCCCTTCCCCCGGCCCGGGCGACGGAGGGCGACGGAGGCCGCGGGAGGCCGCGGGAGGCCGCGGGAGGGCGGGGAGGGCGGGGGCGCACCGGCCCCTTCCCGGGCCGCGCGCCCCGGCCATGCCCACGCGCCCGCTCGTCGGGGGCGCGCGGGTCCCGGGGCCCCAGGTCGTCCCCACGGCGCGGTGCGCGGTCCCGCCGCGCGCGTCTCCAAAGTTCCGGGCTCCCACCTGCTCGGCGGGGCGCGGGGCGCGGGGGGCGGGGGCTGCGCGCTGGCGCCGTCGGGGCCCCTGGCGCGCCCGGGCTCAGGCCGCCCCGCCCCGCCCCGGGCCCTGACCTGGGCGCGCAGGAGCGCGGGGTCCTCCCGCCCGGCCCCGCGCCCCCCTCGCCGCGCTCGGGCCGCCACATCCCCGCCGCCCCGTGGGGCAAAGGCCGCCCCCCCCCCCGCCGGCCGGAGGGCGCGGGGAGCCGAGCGCCGGCCCCGTCCAATGGGGAGCCTCCGCGCCCTGCCTCCCCGGCCCAGCGCCGCGGAATTCCTCGGGGGCGGGGGCGGGGGCGGGGGCGGCCCCACGGATGCCTGCCCGCCGCCGTGTGAGGAGCCATTCACGGGGCTGCGGCGGGGGAAGTCTCCGCGAGCGAACAAGGGCGAGCCGCGGTCTGGCAGCCGCGATGAAAGGCTCGGACACTCCCTCGCCTCCAGCCGGCGCCTGGAGATGGCCGCGCAGACACCGTCCCCCGCGCCGCTCCCCAGCCCCCCCAGCCGGCCTCGGCCTCGGCCACGTACAGCCCCGGGAGCCGCAGGCCCGGGAAGCCCACACCTGGCTGCCTCCGGGCCCCCCGAGGGCCCACTGCGTCGCCTGCCCCCTCCGAGGCCACGGGAGCCCCCTGCCCGGAGCACCCTGAGCCTAGTGGGAAAGGGCCCAGGGAGCCGGGCACACGGCCAGCGCGTGGGGCCAGACCCCCAGCGCCCACCCTCCCCTCCCGCGGAGGAGAGCGCCCGTCTGTCCCTTGATGTCCGTCCGTCCCCTCAGGCGCCCCAGGGAGCAGCCTCGCGGAGGTGCCACCCCCACCATCCTCGCAGGAATGCAGGACCCCAGAGGCTGCCTCCCTCTGCACACAGTGGTGCTCAGTCATTGCTCGGCAGACCTGCCCACGAGAACCAAGCCTCTGTCTCACCAGTACCAGAGCCCATCCCAGTCGAGGGCCTTTGGCCTTGATAGAAGGACTTGCTGAGCCCTGGAGTAAGTCCCCGGGGCTCTGGCACTGTCTCCCCTGTTCCCCTACGTGACCCCTGCAGCCATGCGGGTGCTGGAGGACTGGTACTCTCAGCCTCTCGGCCCCAAGAACAGACAGAAGGGCGAGCAGCCTGAGGCTGAGGCTGAGAACACCAAAAAAGCAGCACCAAGTAGAGTCCCAAGACCCCTGATCAAGCCATACCTGAAGCCCACCGTACTGCCGGATGGTTATTGTTCTACGAGCGAATAAGCCTCCTTATTTTCTTAAAAAATATTTTATGTATTCATTTACTTATGAGAGACACAGAGAGAGAGAGAAGCAGAGACACCGGCAGAGGGAGAAGCAGGCTCCGTGCAGGGAGCCCCATGTGGGACTCGATCCCAGGACTCCAGGATCACACCCTGGGCCTAAGGCAGTGCTGCACTGAGCCACCCAGGGATCCCCCCTCCTTACTTTTTAAAAAAGAAACAAAGAAAGGAGAACCAACAGCGGCGACTGCGGCCTCTCAACAGAGCAGGGAGCGAAAGGGAGATCGTGCGGCTGGACTCCCTGGAGCCACCCGGTGCACGTGCTCTGCAGGGACACGGGAACCCCACACTCCTCAGTGACCAGCATTATCCAAGGGCTACAGGAGGCAGGTGCCAGCCTGGGCCGCAGGGCGTCCTCCCTCTCATGGGTCCCTGGTGTCCATGCGGGCGACGCGCCCTGCACCTGAGCCCCGAGGCTGTGCACACCCTCGCAGGTATGGGCTACCTGGCCGTCCACTGGTCCTTCACCGTCTGGAGCAGGTGGCCTCTGTGAGGGCAGCTCCGCCCTGGGGGTAGCTCTGGGGCCAGGAGGGGACCGAGGCAGCAGCCTCATCAGCATCCTTGGACCAGGGCACCTGCATCTGGGGTCCACGTCCAGCCGGTGCGTGTCTGAGGGGGCGCAGGGCATGAGGTGCCTCGGTACCATGGCGGAGCCGGGGGAGAAAGGGGCAACCAGGGCTCTGCCCCGGTCAGCACATGCCGGTCACCCCGCCACCACCCCAGCCGTGTGCATGAGGCGTCCAGGGCCTGGAAGGAGCGAGCCGGGGCAGCCAGGGCCTGGGGGCCGACGTGTGGCAAGTGGGCAGGTGCACAAGTGTGCGGGCTAGGGCACCCCCAGGGACAGGCTCCGTTGGGTGAGGCATGTGGCTGCTGGGGTCCCCCGAGGCCCTGGTGCTGCCCCCTGCGCAGTGCTCAGGCAGCCCGGTGCCCGCCCCCCACGCCGCCCTGTGGCTTCGGGAAGGGCCCCAGCCCCACGCCAGGGGCTCCGATGCCCCGAGGGTGCGGGGACCTGCCTCCCGCAGGTTTGCTCCCGAGGGGAGCCCAGCAGGGGCTCGGGGAAGAGAGGACCCGCAGCAGATATTCTTCGGCGTCTTCCTTCCCAGGCTCCCCCCGCCCCCCCAGGGCCCTCACGGCCACAGCCCCTGCCCCGGGGACCCCCCGGCGGCCCCCCAGCCCGTCCTCCCACAGCTGAGCTTTCTGAGCTGTCTTCGTAGCGGTCACTAGTCCGAGAACTTGTCTGTTTATTCTCCAACCAGTGATGTGGCTCCAGCGTCCCCATGGCAACAGCCCTGGGAGTCCTGCCCCCTCCCAGGGAACTGCCCAGAAGCTGCCCCTGCCCTCCGCAAGCCCCCGCTGGAAGCTCGCAGGAGCCAAGCAGAGGGCAGGGCGGGCCTGGTGGTGCTGGGGCGGCTTGGAGGGACCCGCCCCCCGCGCGTCAGCCGGTCCCGCGGGTGGACTGAGCTGCTCCAGGCTGCCGCCAGCACCACCCAGGCCTACTCCCGGGCCTGGCTCAGCCCGCGTCTGCGGCCAGCTGGCCCCGCTCTCCTGTGGGGCCGCCCCGAGACCACCCTCCAGAGCCGCTCAGGGCCGGGGGCTACCTGCCAACCCCACGGCTGCCCCACCCCGACTGTCCTCGGGCCCGCGCCCCTGCCAAGCCCCAACTGCCACTCCAGCTGCCACCGCCAACTGCCGCCCCATCTCCATTCCAAGTGCTCACCCCCAACCGTCCTTCCAAAACGCTGCTACCAACTGCCAGCACCCTTCCTTCCTGAGCCCCCTCCCACCTCCACCCTCAGGCCCCGCACCAGGGCTGTGCATTCCAGACCTTCCCTCCAGGACCGGGGCTGGGCCACACCTGCTGTGCTCCCGGAGGGGCTGGTGCCAGGGGGCAGAGGCAGGAAGCTGGAGGGGCATCTGGGGGCCACGGGCCCAGCCGAGAGGAAAGGGTGGGAAGAGAAAGGCGCAGAAGTCGGAGGCAAGACGAGCAGAGGCGCCGTCCGCCCTGCCAGCTGCACGGCCAGGCCAGCTCGGGGGTGGGACTGCGGCAGGGCCCGGCCTGGGCAGCTGCAGGGGCTGCAGGGAGCCTCCCGGAGCAGCTCAGCCCGACCTCTGACCTTGTCCTGGCCCCTCCGGGCAATGGCCAGGGGCACGTAGCCCCTCTCGCTCTCCAGGCCTCTGATGGGGGGGGGGCTCTGGCCTCTGCAGACCCAGGTGGGCCCGGTTCCTGGTCTGGGCTCCCCGCTGTGTCCCGTCCCGCCCCCTCCCCCCGCCCCCCGCCGGGCACCCTGCACCAGCCCCGGCCCCTTTATCACCCACCCCCAGGTCCAATCCTTCACTCCTCTGTCCCCTCTTCCTTTTCCGTACTGATGCTGCGGTCCCTGCAGTGGCATCCTGTGCTCTGGAGATGCTCCCCTGACCCTCGCACCCCACGTGGGGTTTCCACAGCCCCCGCGTCCCCTTGCGGGGCGCACAGCAACCATGCCATCTGCACGGGTCTTTGCGTGGCGGGGCCAGGAGGCAGCTCTCCGTGCTGCAGGTGCGGCCTGGGCTGTAATTCCATCTCGGGCAGGCCCTGGAAACCCATCCTCGGGGATCCGGCCAGTCTGCACCGGAGTGGGGTGCGGGGCCAGGGCCTCGGTCTCCGCCGGAGGAGCCAGCTGCTCCCCAGGACTGCAGCCGCCGAGGCTCACGTTGCAGAGGCCGCGATCTGCAGATAGCCGCCGAGGGTGCAGGACACCATAGGCTCTCCCCGGCGGCCCCTCCGGGAGCTGCCAGGCCGCCACCCTGGAGGGACGCGGGGGCCACGTCACCGTGGCCCGCCCTGGCCTGTACTAGGAGGAAAGGACAAGACAGAGCCCCCCTCCCAAGCACCCGCCCTGTGCCGGGAGTCTCC